TTTTTTTTTTTTTTTTTTTTTTTTTTTTTTTTTTTTTTTTTTTTTTTTTTTTTTTTTTTTTTGTAAAAATATTAAAAATCAATAATAATAGTACTAAATTTCTTTAACTAAATATTAAACTGATTTTACACAAATTTGTATTCAGTGTTACATAAATTTCTCCTGAATCGTCTTCTGTTCAGCATTTTCTTACAATATAATACAAAGAACAAATACAATTTCCACCATGTTGGCCTTCATTCATGATGAAAATGATCATTTTTCTGATAATTACTCTCTTTCTTTACAGCGTTGAAGAGATCAATGCCAAGAAAAACATTCAGCAAGTTCATTGCAGCCATCCCAAACAGTGCAAGCGGCAGCTCTACGCCTTTATCAAACTTGGAAGCATCCATGATGAGCTTAGCAGTAATGAGAATGTGAGGTACAAACCTTGCGAAAATGAACGTTAGCCAGTTCAGAGTCCATTCGACTTTCACGATAAAGCTCTCGGCGTCACGAACACCAGCCATCCGTCGCAATCGCCTTACGTGGAGGAAGATAGAATGCAGCTGAAACATCACAATGATTCTTGTTTCAGTTTTGCAGATCAAAAGCTGGAAGTCAAATTTAACATGAAAACTTGATTTGATTCTAAGAATAGATATGATTGGCTTCTAGAGTCCTTCCAAACGTGCAAAGAAACTACAAGCTCGCTCTCTTGCACTTGCTAACTAAGATGACTGTTTTTTACCCCCAAAGAAAGCATGCTCTTTGATTTGAACATTACATATGGGTGTATGTATGTGCATCTCCATATCAATAAATTAATAAAGAAAATTAGTGAGAGGTGGTGTGTAGAGTGACCTTAGTAGGAGAAGTTGTGTAACAGCCCAAGGTTTTAAAACGTGTTTGCTAGGGAGAGGTTTTTACACCCTTATAAATAATGTTTCGTTCCTCTCTCCAACCGATGTAGGATCTTACAATCCACCCCCCTTCGGTGCCCAACGTCCTCTCTGACACTCGTTCCTCTCTCCAAACAATGTGTGGGACCCCTAATCAACCCCCTTTCGGTGCCCAACTTCCTCGCTGACATACTACTCGATGTCTGGCTCTGATACCATTTGTAACAGTCCAAGCCCATCGCTAGCAGATATTATCCTCTTTGGGCTTTCCCTTCCAAGCTTCCCCTCAAGGTTTTAAAACACGTATGCTAGGGAGAGGTTTCCACACTCTTATAAAAAAATACTTCGTTCTCCTCTCCAATCGATGTGGAATCTCACAAATTGTGTAGAAATAGATTCAAAATCGAAGAAATATACAAAGAGAGACTAGTCATGGGAAGTCTACACATGAAGAGAGCTAGTAAGAGAATGGTTAACTAAGACAGAGTGTAAGGTGATAGAAACTGTGTGAAGCGGGAGATCAACGTGAAAACGTGAATGGAAAGAGAAGTTAGGGGGAGAAAGTGCTATAAAAAGAAGTCAGAAAAAGAAAGAAGGTGCCACAATAGAATGAGGACGGTTCAAGCCAACAACACTAGATAAAGTATCTATCTATTACGTTTCTTTGAAAAACGACTTAAATCTGATAAGCTTGCAAAATACTCGGAATTCATGTTTGTGTCTATGTCAAAGTGATTAAGCCCTTCATCGTCGTGATCCATATCAATGAAGGTAACGGAGATGCAAAGACCCAAAAAGAACCACAAACAAAAAGAAAGAAAGCAGCATATTCATAAGGCACATCTTGCAAGAAAAAACTAATGCATACCTCGCAAATGAGAGTGAGAATGAGATAATTGATGGTGACATTCCTATACAAAGCAAGTGTAAAGCAAATGAGGAGAACCAGATGATGAACCAAGATGGCAGGGATCCAGCCACTGTATAATCGGTATTGCAGCATGTCCCACTGATCATATGCAAAATAACCACATGAGAAGCACAAAGCTGCATAAGCCCATGGCCATGTTCCTCCAAACAACTGTGAATGCTCAAACATCCCGTCCAAACCATGACTCAGCCACCGATTCACCAAAATAAACAACACTGCAATTAAATAAAGATGACTTAACTAGATGGCCCAAAGAATAGGATTAACTATTGAAATTCAGAAAATAAAAGCCCTTTGGGTTGGAATAAAGTGGCAACCAAGGCCAACCTAGCAGCCTTTCCCCTAGCAATTAAATAGTTAGTTTACCTTTAGGCTTTCCTCAACCTTCAACAATTCAAAGAATTTGCTAATGAATCAAAGAGAGAATCTCTCTAATCATTCATGAGTTTTTAGACATTTTCTTGGTTGACAAACAACCTTTAATCACATAATAGTCTGGGTTAGAACTGTTTTGTGTAGTGTAGCAAGATGACAATGACCTGTTTGATTTAAACGAGTATTGAGGTTAGAGATCTTCATTATGATTAACAGGTCCTACGGATGGCCCTCTAGACTGATCTGTATCTAAATTTAAAATTTATTTTGTTTAGTTTTTGTCGATTGAATTAATTTTAACTGAATTCGTGTGAGGAAGACAACTTAGTGCATTTTTGTCATGTTCAAAATCACTCCAAATCAAGTATTTAATCATTCAAAATCAATTTAATGTTTGATTTACACTTTCAATCACCATTTTCATATCATTTGAATTGATTTTAAGTTATTTCGGATTGATTTTGGATATAACAAAAGGTAATATTAACTATTTCTAAATCTCAATTAAAATTCAAGAAATTAAGCTTAAAAATTGGGGTTTAGTGTTATAATTTGACCAAAGTAATGCTACAGGATTAAAGAACAAACTCTAAATATTCTTGGTGCTGGAAAAGGACTCCAAAAAAATTCATTTGCGCTTGGTTCATTGTCTCAAACAACCCACTGTAGCACACGCACTGAACCACATCCCGATTTCCAGAAACAACAGCACACTTGCAAACTCTCATTCACCATTAATAACTAATAATTCACACAGCTTACAACACAGAACTTGCAATAACAAAACACGATCAACTCTCAGTCTATCTTATAATGAAAATAAAGTTTATTATTCCATTGCTAAACCTTCAAGCAAGCCAAAGAAGTAACCACCAAACAAAGAATCAAACAGTAAATAAGGAAGGCAGTCGTGTATGACGAAAAACAACAAGTGAAGGTATGAATTCACTCACAGAGAAGTAGAAGGGAAAACAAGCAACAAAGGGTAAAAGAGTAGGCAAAGAACCTGAAGCAGAAGTGATAATAGAGTGAAGGAGAGAGACAGCGGTGTTGACTACGAGAGGTTCCTTAGAAATAAGAAATCGAATGGCCGAATTGGCGGATTGGTAGAACAGAGCTCCGAATACGAGGTAGAGCAGCTCGAAGCGCCTGTCGAACAGAATTTCGAACCAAAGAGAGACTGTCCAAAGCACTAATGTCGCGGAGAAGAAGCTTCCTGCCCTGCTCTCCTCCTTCAACACCGTCCTCCCCGCCATTAATTCGCTATGGAGCTCAATCGCCTGTTCTGTATCTTCTGGTGAAGACGAGAATCGACAGAAACAGAAATGAAGACGGGTACCGGTCCCCACGGTAAACGGTGGCCCGATAACGCTAGCGAATTGAGCGTAAAGCGATTCCGACGGTTGGGCTATTTGTTCGGCCCATTTATTTTCTGACCACTTTTCAAAGATTTAGAGAGTTTAATTAATACAAATTAATCTAATTAATACAATTAAAATTTAGAGCAAAATATTCTCTTACCTTTTTTTGTCATTTATTTTTATATCTAATTATTATTTTTAAACTAATTTATAACAAAAAAGAAAAACAAAATAGTTTTTTAGATGAGCTAGACGATATCTAGATCGGCACAGATGGACGGACCAGATTTGACGGTGACCAAAATTACGTACTCGACAAGTGCACCAATCGAAAGAAACCCACGAAGTTGGAATTGGAAATAGATTAGAGAAATTGAGAAAGAGATAGGATATCTTTGCAATCCGAGCTGGCAGGATGTCGGGGGCCCACTCGGGGAAGATACTCGCTCTCACAAAAAAGAAGCATGTGGATGTGGAGTATGCCACGTGTAATAAAATTGTGCCCACTATTTTCCACGTGGCAGACCTTGGAAGGCCAGCTGAGATCGCGGAGTACAACCGCCTCTTATCGCTAAAATCCCCAAAATGATATCTCTCTCACAAGAATTTTCATTTCGCTCTCTCTCTCTCAGCCCTCTCTCTCCCTCTCTCTCTCTCAGCTTCACAGTTCAAACGCGATGACCGTCGTAGCAACGGCTGCAGCTCTCTCGTTGCCGATCTATATTTCTAAATCTCCGAAGCTCAATTTTAGGAAGGTGCGTGGTTCTTTTCTTTGAACGTCCCTCAATTTGTTTTTGATATCTGGTTGTCGATTGAGAGTCCATTTGGTCATTTCGACGTACATTTTTCTGCTAATTGGTTTCATGGAGCTCAGTTTTCGTAGTACTTTTGATTACCAAACTTGGCTGCTTCCTCTGTTCATACTTGTGAGTTTCTTTAGTTGCTATAGGAGGAGCTTCTAAGTGAGTAATGTGATGGATTAAACGATTTGATCGCTTTCTATAACTAACCATAGGGCAAAATATGTGGATTAACAGATGTTTGATGCATTGTCGTGTTAAAACTGTGATAAACGATTGGCCCTGAGGTTCTAAATTTTCGTTCCACTTTGAATGTTACGGTTTGATATTGTGGAGTGTTGGATTTCAGAGTGTGAAAGGAGGATTTAGAGTGTTTGCTGTGTTTGGAGATGAAGGAGCTATAGAGAGGAAGAGTGGTTGGGAAACGCTATTTGACGTGGAAGATCCAAGGACAAAGGTTCCTCAATGTAAAGGGAAGTTCTTAGATGTTAATCAAGCTCTGGAAGTGGCTAGATATGACATTCAATACTGTGATTGGCGAGCTCGGCAAGATGTTCTTACAATCATGCTTCTCCATGAAAAGGTTCCTCCAATCTCATTCTACTACTTCATTTTCTTGTTCATGCAGTTGGTTGATCTTCCATAAAATTACCTTTAGGTTGATCTTTCTTTTTGAAACATGTTTTGTTCTGAATGTTTGTGGCTTAAATATTGCTTTAGGTTGTGGAAGTTCTAAATCCTCTAGCTCGTGACTATAAATCTATTGGAACAATGAAGAAGGAGCTTGCTGGATTACAGGACGAGTTGGCAGAAGCGCACAGACAGGTATGTAACGCTTCTTGTCAATTCTTATCCTATTTCTACCATTATCATGTTTTGACCACTCATGAACCAACATGAACAGGTTCATATATCTGAAGCACGGGTTGCCACTGCGTTAGATAAACTAGCTTACATGGAAGAATTGGTGCATGATAGGCTGTTACAAGACAGAAACACAGCGGAATTGGATACCCCATCTACCTCGCCTGGTACTTCGACACAATCTCATGATTCTGTGAATAGAAGATCGCCAAAGAAAAGCTTGAACGTATCAGGACCGACCCAACCGTATCATCCCCGCTTGAAGAACTTCTGGTATCCTGTTGCTTTCTCCAGTGATCTGAAAGATGACACAATGGTAGGATAATCCTACATATCAGCTCATCCAATACCTTACGAATTCAACTTACTTTGGGTGTCCTCTTACTAATTCATCATCTATTTTAGGTCCCATTTGATTGTTTTGAAGAACCATGGGTTCTTTTCCGTGGAAAGGATGGCAATCCTGGATGCATACGAAACACTTGTGCACATAGGGCATGCCCTCTTCACCTCGGTTCTGTCAACGACGGACGAGTCCAGTGTCCTTACCATGGTTAGTCTTACTAAAAGGAATATACTCGGGAAACTCAAAAGCCTGGCTTAATAAAAACAGAAATCTCATTAGTTGAAATATCAGGTTGGGAATACTCAACAGACGGAAAATGTGAGAAAATGCCATCAACGCGACTACAAAATGTGAAAATAAAGTCTTTGCCATGTTTCGAAAAAGAAGGAATGATCTGGGTTTGGCCTGGTAATGATCCTCCAGCAGCCAATCTTCCTTCTCTACAACCTCCTCCTGGTTTTCAAATCCATGCTGAGGTAATTTTCATAGCGATTGAGTTGTAAATGATGAATGTGCATGAAGTCTTCTTCAGCTAAACTGTAAGTGCATATGGCAGCTCGTCATTGAAATCCCAGTGGAGCATGGATTACTGCTAGATAACCTTCTGGATCTTGCTCATGCACCTTTTACTCATACTTCCACTTTTGCAAAAGGATGGAGCGTACCCAGGTACAGTTTGGTCAATATCATAACTATGGAACTCAAAGTTATGAGTTAAAAAGGTCTTAAAAACTGATCTTTAATCTCTACTCTATCCAACTCGCAGCTTGGTGAAATTTTTAACCCCTGCATCTGGGCTCCAAGGATACTGGGACCCTTACCCGATCGACATGGAGTTTCGACCACCTTGTATGGTGCTATCTACTATAGGGATCTCCAAGCCAGGAAAGCTAGAAGGTCAAACTACCAGAGAATGCTCAACACATCTTCATCAACTCCATGTGTGCTTGCCTTCAACAAGACAGAAGACAAGACTCCTGTACAGAATGTCACTGGATTTTGCTCCTGTGTTGAAGAATATTCCCTTCATGCACTATCTCTGGAGACATTTTGCAGAACAGGTAAAATTCTCATCACACAATAGTTTTATAGCTATTCATGATCGTATTCTAAAAGAGGGATTCTTTCTTTTTGCTGTTCATGCAGGTGTTGAATGAGGACTTGAGGCTCGTTATTGGTCAGCAAGAAAGAATGCTGAACGGAGCAAATATTTGGAACATGCCAGTTTCTTATGATAAGCTTGGCGTAAGATATAGGCTATGGAGAAATGCAGTAGAGGAAGGAGCAAAACAATTACCCTTCAGCAAATCAAATTGAACGGTATTCAAACTTAGTTAACTTCAAACACTTCTTAGGACCCCATAAACACAAATCCCCATCTTTTTCAAAGCTTAAAATTGCTGGCTGAGACAATACCAACCTACCCTCCATCCCTCCCTTCCTTCAGCTTCCACTTCTGAGAAGATCGCTCTCAATTGGACTTTGCAGAAGCTGTAAGAAGAAAATCATATGAAAGCAGAGAAGAATCCCCACGTAATTTAGAGATTGCTATATCAATTTGATTGGCTTAGCTTTTAAGTGCTTCTGCTTTGCTTTCGGTATGCTTCTCCCGAGCCCCCCACCCCCAAGGGTCATTGTTTTAGGCTTGTAAAAGTATACGAGTATGCTTTGTTGTGTGCATCTTCAACACGAAGAAATTGAACGGTTGATAATAAAGTTTTTTCGTTCTCAATCTTCGATCTCCATACTGATTCCAGCAATTTCTCATTCAAAAGAAGCAGTTTTTCAAGAACAAATTACAGAACCAGACACCATTTTGATTACTAACAGACGAGGCTATATGATATTTCAAATTATTTGAAGCAGAAGTAAACAAGAAGCAGCTATTAAAACTTTTGAAATTTACAAGGAAAAACCACAGAAAGGGCAGAAACTGAAGTCGGGCTCCACTACTTTGTTACATGAACGGCAACGAAGGGTCCTTGAAAGAGCGGCTGGTGGCGTCGATTGATCGGAAATTGGGGGCGGAGAGAACGACCGAGGGAAAAAGAGGTTACAGTTGTTGCAGTGCATCAGTGGCTCTTTTCCCGGCCACCGCCACACCGGAACAAAGAAAAGCTTCAGAACTTTCTCATAGTTAACGAGATCGGCAGGCGAGTTGCAGTTTATGCACCGGCCGGCGGCGGATTTGAGGAGCTGGCGAACTTGTTGCTCTAAACCCCCGACGAAGAAGAAGAACATTTTGTTTCTCTTACAGCGATTTTTGAGAGACAATGGGTTTATTTATTGGGAGGGAAGAGGCGGTTTCATAAGTTCAGGAGAGTCTGGAGGTTTCGGAGGGGTTCCATTCCATCAAACTTGTGCAGCCGGTCGCCCGTTTTAACCCGTTCTTTTACTGTGCACTTCCTTACCTAAAAAATTTAATCTTATGTCTTAAAAAATGGTCAAATAAGATACGTTTCCTTGTGCAGCCGGTCACCCGTTTTAACCCCTTCTTTTACTCATCACTTTCTTCCCCGAAAAACTTAATCCTAATTTTAGAAAAAGTGTCAAATAAAGGAAACGCTTAAAGTTACAGTTCCTTCAAATCTTTTTGAAGTAACACTTCAAAATAAGTATGAGAAGTCTTAATACTTCAAAATTCGCAATCTTTGATCTTAGAATCACGTAAATATTGTCAGATCATATTAAAAATTTAAAATAGGAAAATATTTTATAATAATTGTTTTAATCTCAAAATTTTTACAAAATCGGCCCAGTTTAAAATAACTTTTTTTAAAAAAAAAATGAAATCCTGATAAATCGGACCAGTTATTAGGTGTATTGTTTACCTTATTTTCATCGAACACTAACAAATAGGATCATTTATGATGAGGTAGGATCTAATAGATACCTCAAAATCCTGTGGGTAACAAACGGACTACAAATAGCTGGTTCCTAGCTAGACAGATGCCTAGACCTTGTCTCTGCCGTTCGAAATGGAGGAAGATGATCTGATAAATGACATAGAAAAGAAGCTACAGAACGCACTAGTCTGCAAAATCTTGACATCAAATATGGTGAATGTGGAGGCCTTTCGATCTATAATGGCAAAGATTTGGAATTTCGAAAAAAAATGTAAGGATTGAAAACGTCGAGGGAACATTTACTTAAGCATATTCGGAACTCCCAATGATAAGCAAAGAGTTCTTGAAAATGGCCCTTTGTTCTTTGACAAAAGGCCAGTGATTTTCGAACAACCACCACGAGGAACCTGTAAGTTCACAGACCAATAGAATCTTCAAATGTAAAGAAGTTGTGAGTCTCCAAAGTAGACAAAGGGTGTATTGTCCAGGGGAGAGACCATTCAAAGGCTTCATAGACCTCTCAGGTTAGAGGGAGTTTCGCGATTTATAAGTATGAGGCCTTTGGAAAGTCCACATTTCCTAACATGTTTCGTCCCCTTGAAGTAACTAGTATTTGCTCTGGTTGAACAGAAGCCAAAAATCAACTTTAAATATTTGATAAACTACCTTGGCTATATATATCAGAGTAATGGAAATAAAGACTTGTTCTTAATATTTTGCTTCATCAAGACACAAATGATATGATTCACCTCTGGGCTAGCAATGTATTGGCTTAGGCATTTCTGCTGGAGTGCGCAAAGAGAATTATTCCACCTTCCTGCTCTCTATGTTTATCTCTTCCAGCCACTATCTGGCTATCTGCAAATTTCCCTTGGCCAAAGCTTGTCCAAAAATAAAGATATTGACCCCCTTTTGCCCCATAAAGATGGTTGCCATTCTGGTTGGATTTGCCCCATCAAAATCTTCTCTGACGAGCTTTTATTCAAAACACAGATGAAGATATAGAGTGGCGACCCCAAGGTTTCATCAGCATCCTAATATCATAGTCAACCTTCGTAATGAACTTCTATGTCACATCCTGCTATCTGTTAGATTCTCAGTGTTTCATGGTCAAAGGAGTTTCAAGAACCAGTCCACCTTATTTTCTTGCTCCTCTACATCAGCTAAGTTGAAAACAAACAAAAACTAGTCTGGTTCTTCGTCTTCAGTCAATTCATGTCTTCCTAGTACTCAACAAGCGATAATTATACATTGTATGGTTAGCTTCCTGCAATAAATTGAATAACAAGTTCAATAAGAATTTCAAAATATCTTAACAAATTTTGTTGTTACAACTTCAACGATAGACCAGACAATGGAACCGGGACAGGGTAATAAGCAAAAAATTCAGTAGACCATAGACAGGGAACTACCAGATAGGAGTAGAACAAGTGAGATGTATCATGTGTAGTAGCCATAGCGCTAATGAATTTCAAACTTAAATTTAATTTCTGCTAATAATTGAAGATGCAATCTGTGTAGTATTCATGTGCATCTCATCTACCATTACGATTCTGGTAGATAACAGGTCGTTACCAGCTAGGGTTCAAGAATTTTGCTCAATTAGAAAAAAATGTAGAATCAAATTCAATTCTCAATCAAAATTTGACCATGCCTTCCCGTGGTAAATTCAATTACATCATGTACGATCATTGATACCTGCAAATTCTATCCAATCAGCTCAATGGCATTGCGTAGCGGCACAACGGGCACAAATGACTCGTCTCTAGCCATTTGACGATACACTCTCTGTGGTAAAAATGAGCGCACGGTAATTGCGTAACTTCCATTCCGTTCATCAATTCATCCAAACATATTCTGCATTCTCCGATCAACAACTCTCCATGGACATCAATCTCCAAGTTCTTCAAACCTTCGATAGCCGACGCACACGCCGGCGACGCTTTAAACGCTTGCTCTGATGATTCCCGCAAAACTCGCCCAATTTCCTCGCGTTCATTGTACAGCGAAACGACTAAAACAGACACCGCCAACGGAAATATCCGACGGCCAGCATTAAGAGGATTGCAAACGATATCAGCCGCGACGGACAGAACGTCCGGTACTGCCGCGTCCAAGAAGTCTTGCGCGACGCCAGTGCCGGAGAAAACAGCAATCAGGATACTGGAGCCACTGGCGAGAAAGACATCGCAAGGTATCAAGGACGAAGATAGGGAGGAATTTAGGAGAGTGTGAAATTCTTGAGAGTGATTTGACTGAAGAACATGGCGAAAGCGAAGGTGGAAAAGGAAACAGTCACAGGGAAGCAAGTGAGAATTGGAAATGGCAAAATTAATATCATCTTCACCTTCTTCAGGTTGCCATATCTGGTATTCGTAGAGAGTATCCATGGCCATGGCAGTTCAAGTACGGTCCAGTAGCGTGAAAACCAGAGAGCGGAATGAAGAAGACGAATAACAGAAAAAATTATGAGAAGAGAAGAGAGTGGGAGTTGGGTTATTTAGTTTCGGATACAGAGTGAATTTATAAATATGGAAAAAGGAGGCTGTTGGGATTGGGAAAACAAACAACGCAGCGTTTCAATGGGTCACAAACTCTAGTTTTTATTCATATTATCACTTTACTAAATTACAAATATACCCCTTCCGGAAATTTGTCTAAATTTATTTTTTAATTTTTAAATTTATAATTACCCATTTAAATTTTATATCTGATAGAATCTTTTTAGGAAATTTGAAATCTTGTGATACATTTGTAATTTAAATAAAATTATTATTAGACATAAAATAAATGTAATTTATTATTATTATTGTAAATTACAAATATATACTTTTTGATAATAGTTTCTATTTTTATCTAATATTTTTTAAATTTTAATTTTATGTCTATAGATTTAAAATTTTTAAAAAATAATTAGCTATGGGATGTAATTTGAATTTTATAATTTTAGGTCTAAATTTATAATTTAAAAGTTTAAGAACTAAATATATGGATATATTTGTAAATTAGCTATGGGATAATCCCTCAAACATTTGACCAATGAGGTAATGACACGTGTACTTACGAACATCAACTTAGAAAAAGTAAGCTCCAAACCTAGGTAACACTTAAAAGCGCTATATAATTCAATCTATGAGAGAGCTTTGGGTGGTCCCTATCAAAAAGTACTAGACAGACTAAATAACAAGCGAGATAAAAAAGTTGTTGGCCACATATAAAAGAATATATTGCATGAGGATATCTGAGTTGAGTTAGACTCACTGTTGGGGTAATTAATTAGAATAATTGATAAAATATAATTTCTATCCTATGAAATTTAAGTATAATAATTGATAAGTAGAAATTTATTTTAAAAAATACGACAAATTCAAACTAACTAGTCATTTTGATATTTATAAGATTTAAAAATCTGACACAAATATTCTTTTCGATCTTCCCAATCTCGATGAAAAAAGCAAAAACGTGCGCAACTACATCAAAAACCTCTATTCCTGAAGTAAACTCTAGTCGCTCTCGCTCCGCTCATATACTATTCGAAACCGAGAAAACCATCAAAAGAATCAATGGTATACCGCACTCTTACTCATTTGTGGAGCTGGGCTGAGTTTGTGACGAACCAAATGGGCCTTATTGTATCGTTTCATTGGGCCGTTGGATCCAATATCAGTAACGCTCTAACAATTGGACTGGGTTTTAGGAACTAAATATTGGGCCTGAAATCAGCCCATTTACAAGAGGGAAAAAAATAATAAAAAGCTAGTAATTAGAGAGAGAAAAAAGGAGGGGCATTCCGAGAATCGAACTCGGGACCTCTCGCACCCAAAGCGAGAATCATACCACTAGACCAAATGCCCTTCATATAACATAATACTTAATAAAATTATATAATACCTAAATATTTGAAGCTTCCACTATTTGGCCCATTTATATTTTAGATTATGTTCGTTTTTTTAAATAACTAAAGCAATAAATAAAATAAAATCAGGTGAAAAAAAAATAGACATATTAACTAAATATTATGAGTTTTTTTTTTTTTTCTGATTTTTGTTCGTATGTTATTTTCATAATATGTTATTTTCATAATAAATTATAGAAAAAAATTCAACAAACAAAAAAATAAATGGTTGGTTTGTAACCTAATACTATTTCGAATTAATTTTTACACCATTAAAAACAAAGAAAAAGAAAATGCACTGTTAAAATTAATAAAATATATTAAATCTCACGATTTCAAAATGAAATGTAATATTGAAAACTGATTTTAAAATAGAGTGAATAAATAAATAGAGAAGAAATTAAGAATATATATATAGGAAAAATAATAATAATAATAGTTGGTTGGAAATGATTATAAAGAGGGAGAGTCCGAAATTGTGTCGCCCCATCATATGGGGCATGGCAATTGTAGTACCCTCAAATTGAGAGACCCAGACACTCCATTAATGTTGATTTTACACCCACCACAATTACCTTTCTCTTCAATTTATTTCAGTTGACCTAAAACAATGTATACATTCAATTTTAATTAAATTTTAACTTTGAATAAATACTACAATTTTACATTCAGTTTAAATTTCATTATTTAATATACAAATTATAATTCTTTTTATATATTTTTAAACTTTAAAGTTGATTAATAAATTTGCCACCTTTATATAAATTGGTTGAGCTACATGATTGAGTTAGTACTTTAATATATAAAAATAAATTATAATTTGCATTATTTTTTAACGTTTAAGGTATTTGTAATAACAAATAATTTTTTCTTTTTTCCTAGTTATTTTTTGGCTTATTTTCAGCTTTATCATTTTCATTTTTTAGTTCCAAATTTATATATTTAATTTTTTTATTCTATGTCGGTGGAGTGATGACTCATAGCTCTCTTCATACTAATAAAAAAAATGTTAAATATATTAAATCAAATCATTGGATCCAAAATTTAATAATGATTGACAAGAGGTGGATAACTTTTGAATTATTCTTAGCGTTTTATTTATTTATTTACATATATATATATATAATATATATAGGAGAGTTATTATAATTACATATATAATATATACAATTAAATTCATTGATGGTCTCTTATATCCCTACCTAATTAATTATATAGAAAATGTTAAATTATAAATTTAATCTCGTGAAATAAATTATTTAGAAAACGAAATAAATGAAGGCCATAGTGATTTTATTTTCAATTTTATGTTCTTAAATAATTATTTATTAATACTTCTTATTTTAAATTTTTTTTATTGTGAAAAAAAAAAACTAATATAAAAATTGGTAGATTAGATTATTAAATTTAAAAAACAAGAATGATTTAATTTTCAAATTTTAATCCCTCTATTTCGATTAAAAACATTTTAATCTATAAGTTTTATATTTAGTCCATATAAATTAATTTTTTTTAACATGAAAAATCTTATTGGAGTATTAAATTTTATTTTGCAACATTTCAAACTCTATACTTTTATAAATACAATTATTTTAGACATAATTTACCGAGATACAAAAATTAAAAAATATTCATTTATATATTAGATACAAATATTAAATTATATGAACTATTACTATGTATTAAAAATTTTATGAATTAAATTATACCAAAATAGAATTGTTACATATTCTGTTTAAAAAATTAAATTGCTATTTCAGACTAACTAATAATATGTTGAATTAATTACATTTTAATGGGAATTTTCCATAAATTTTAACGTAACTATCGATATTACTCACCGTCCTCCACCAACAGCTTTATGGTTTGAGCTATTAAATTTTTTTAATATATTTTCTTTTATAAAAACTTATATTATTTTATTAATATTTTTCGTAAAAAAAATATTTTTAATTAATTTAGATAAAGATTAAATATTAATGGAGCAATCACTACTTTTTAAAATTAGTTGAATATATTGATGGTTTGAAATGAATCCGTTATTAATTATAATTAAACGTTAAATCTATACATTTTATTAAAGCACCCCAATAATTATTTAAATGGCTAAATAATCCAAAATTAAATATTTATTTGTTTAATCGATGGATTATAATTGATGCGTATTTAGTTTCTAAAGTTTAATTTTTTAAATATTATATTATTTATATATGATATTAATATAATCTATCTTAATTTTATTAGATAAAATATTATATGTTTTTATGTAAAAAACATTTAAAATAATTGACTGTAGCTCTAATTTATTTTTCGATAATTTAACTCTAATAACTTTAAAGTTAAACGTGTTATACTTGATGCATCTGGTGTTGGTTTATGAGTATTATTTTTAATCATAGAAACTTCCACACAAGTAAATACCACGGTAATGTTAGAAGAGATGATGAGAAATACTAAAACCAAAAAGTATCATAAGTACCCAAGTCCATCGCTAGTAAATATTATTCGCTTTGATCCATTACATATTGCCGTCAGCTTCACGGTTTTAAAACGCGTCTATTAAGGAGAGGGTCTATGTCTACTCCAACCAATGTCTCGTATCGTCAGGGACTAGCTCTGATATTATTTGTAACAGTCTAAACGAACCGCTAGCAAATATTGTTCGTTTTAACCTGTTACATATCAATGTCAGCCTCACAAATTTAAAAACGCATCTATCATAGAGAGGTTTTCACATATATATAATGAATGTTTCGTTCCAGTCGTCAACCGAGGTGGGATTTTACAACGAGTCTAAATTTAAAATTATAAACATGAAGCGTTACGTAAAGTTTGAAATATAATAATATGTAGACGATTATTTTGACTACCCAAAGTTTGAATTAAATAAAAACATATTCGAAAAATGAATAAATAGGTAGTTGAATGGTGAGGATGGCTTTGATTTGAAGAAAAAAATAATAATAATAATAATAATAATAATAAAGTATTAAAAATGAAGAGGCCAAAGGATAAATTATCCATGCATTTGATTTGATTGGGACAGATGTATATTAATCAAAGAAGTTGAATTGATTGGAGGATTAATTCATATGAGAACAAATTTGTAAAATAATGGGTCCAAAAGCAACAACAAACCTTTGTGTCATTGATGATACCATTTTGGACTCTAATCATATTCATTGAATCATTTCTTCCCCACTTATAATTGATCATTTTTTTATATATTTTTTATAACATAATTTTTTTTTCTTAATAGATAAATAAATAAGAAAATATACATACATATATATATATATATGATAGGTATTAGATATTTTAGATGAAATTTTAATCCTTATCTTATTTTAATGAGCATTTTAATGTTATCTATCTGTTAAGAAAAATAAAATATTCCCTTTGATTGGACGTTAATAATTTTCAATGGATTTACAAAGATAAGACCAAATTAAATGTTGAATTACGAAATTGCCATTGGATGGAATTAAGTGAAAAATACTTATTGTTTTTGTCAAATTCTCATATATTCATTTATTCTATTAAAAAAATTAAGAAAATTATTTTAAAAGACTCGAAAATAATTAAAACATATTAATTATTAAATTCTTTAAACAAAAATTAGATTAAATGTGTTTCTTAATTAAGCATAATTAGTAAAAGGGTTTAGCATTTTATAGTATTAATTATGCATCAAATCCCCAAATAATTATTTTTTTGAAAAACGACAAAAAAGGAAGCTCGAAAAAAACATTTCAAACTCACCATTTTAATTATTTAAAATAAATAAATAAATAAGAAGAAGTTTTAGTGTGACAATGAGCTATTTAAGATCTAATAAAAAAAATTAAAAGAAAATTGATATCTAACATACCAACCCCTCTCCCAGCTGTAAAATTCCAAAATGGCCCCTTGCCTTTCTAATCCAATTCTTTTTTTTCCTTAAAAGACTAAATTAATAATAAAATAAATATATCCATATGATTTAGTTTTACCTGAGTACAATTTTTACCGTTTGACCAGGAACATAGTGGAAAAGTTAAAAGGTAGCCAAACATTTTTAAACTGTGAGGGTAATAATGCAAAGTTTTGGCAGATTGTCAATTTTATATTTTATAAATAATATATTTTTAATTAATTATTATAACACAATTTAACATAGGTCAACTTTAATTAAAATATATTATAGTAGGCGGACATTTTATTCAAAAGTTAACATAATTTGTGGCGGTAAAAAACATACTTTTCTATACAAGTAATTGAAGGATTATTTTTCATTTAAAAATTACACAATTTAAAAAAGAGGTGGGCCTGTATTGGTAAATGGTAGGCCCACATTGGCTTTGTAGTACAAAGGCGATGGTTATTTTTTAAAATTTTATTGTTATTATTTAAAATTAAAGAAAGTAAAAATCGGTACGGGCAGTTATGTTTAAAAAAATAATATTTTTAAGAATATATATTTTTTGTTGAACAAATTAAAAGTGTAAAATTTAAGTATGATTAAGTGGATAGTTTTGCCAAAATTCCTTTGTATTAAAGAAAAATATAAAGTCGATGCATTTAATAATTTATTTTCTGTGATGTGACAAGTGGTTTTATTTGTTTTGAGTTTAATTAAGTCACATGTCCGGTTTAAACCGTTGAGTCAAAATCTTCGAAAATAATTATTGATATTTATTTTTAGTAAATTTCAACTCTAAATTTTTAATTAGAATTAATGAATGTAATAATTGATAATACAAAAAAGTGTCATACTCATTTATGTTTCTACAAGCTAACTCATAGAATTATGGGTCAAGGGTATGCAAGATATAGATCTCTTAACAAAGCCACCTCGGTCCCAAGACTAAGTTGGTTCATGTATTGTCATTTCAAGTTCGAGTTCCTTTCAAACTTGAGTTTCAATGATATCGAACCTATTTTAAGTTCAAAATTACCCATATAAATAAAAATAAAAAATTTATAATTGAATCCATATAAAAAAAATAAAAGTTAATTATATTCTCTATTTATATAGAATTGCTTTCATAGAAGGTTATTTTTAAAAGTATATAATCTATCCTCGTCTTAAAAATTAATATGAAAATTATGTATAAAGATCAAATAAAACAATCAAATCAAAATCGCGTGATATAAGAAATAAAAAATAAAAAAATTATCCACCACAATTAATTGACGTGTACTTTGTAATATATTTCAATTTTGTTTCTGTACTATATAAACATTTATTTTTATTAATATTAACGGATATATTTTTGTAAATATTGACTTTCGTACAATAATGTTAATGTAGACTAACAAGATATCAACTTCATAAAAGATAGCAAGCTGAATTGAATAGTCAAAACCTATGCCCAATTTAATTTTAAAAAAATGATAATAAATGTAAAAATACAAAACAAAGTATATAATTTTATTATCAACTTTTTTTTTGGAAGATAAAGATAGAAACTTTAAACAAATGAGATATACAATCATACGGTGATGACTAGATTCGAAAATTGGGACCTGAATAGTATCGGTTGGATAATGAAAGTCTTAGATCGTCTAATTTAGAAAATGATCATGAATTTATAAACAAAGAATACTCTGTTCTTTGACATGAGACTTTTTGGGAAACACGAAACAAAGCTATGAGGGCGAATGCTTAAAATGAACAATATCATACCAATGTGGAGAGATGTGTTCGTACCAAACTTGTGCATGTCCAAATTTCTATGTTTGGAATCGTGTATGAATAACGGAGAATTAAAATAATATTATAATTTTTGAAAAAAATATTTAATTATATATATATATATATAATTGAAGGTAAAATAAAATATATTGTAAAAAAGAAAAAGGTGGAGTGTGTAGCCGTCTCACTGAAATGAAAGTGGTGGTCCTATCAGCTTCGATTCGACGCCCTCTCTCACCTCTGTAACACATCATATTCTACCACGTGCACCAAATTCGCCTTCTCCTTTTCTCTAACCTCTTTCCCACTCCCACGTGCTTAAAATCCTCCCTCTTTCTCCCTCGCTTCTCCCCACCGTCCTCCCTCCCTCTTCTACTTTTCCCTCTTTCTCTGCTTCTTCTTCCATTTCTCCTCCGCCGGAATCTCTCGCTCTTTCTCTCCTCCTCTCCATCCGTCGATTAGTTTCTGTGATCGTCACAATGTTCTCTCCTGCAAGACTTTGCTTAATTTTCTTCATCGCGATTCAGAGCTTCTCAGTCTGTTTAATCGACGCGATATTCTCGCCAGTCGGCGGTGATCATGGCGGCTCTTCTCTAATAGGCGCCGGATGCGGCTTACAAACGGTGCGGAATTCTAATTCGCTGAAGAATCAGAGTGTTGGAACGTTGATGACTCGATTGGAATCTCAGAACTGCGAGGTCTGGACGGAGGCCTGCTCTGAGGCGATCCTGAGTTTGGCGAAGCGGCCGGAGGTTGTTGATTGGTTGAAGAAGGTGAGAAGGATAATCCACGAGAATCCGGAGCTTGCGTTCGAAGAATTCGAAACTAGTCAGTTGGTTCGCGATGAGTTGGACCGGATGGATATTAGTTATGAGTATCCGTTGGCTCAGACTGGCATTCGTGCTTGGATCGGGACTGGCGGACCGCCTTTTGTTGCTCTTAGGGCCGATATGGATGCTCTTCCAATCCAGGTTCTTCTACAAAATCGGTTATCGCGATTATGATTGATTATATGCTTTTGATTACTTTTCGTTTTCTTTTCCACTTGCTTTCACATTTACGACTGATTGATTGCCTTGATGTTTCTCTCTGCCCTGATATTGAAAACAACATGACCGAAAACGAGAAAAAGAGGAAGAAAACAGAGATTAGAATTTGGAGAAAAGAAAAGAAAAGAAACTCTGTTATTAAAACTATTTCTGGAAATAGGTTCGCGCAATAGTTTTTTCTGTCAAAATTCAGATTGAACTTGTTTTCAAATATTCCATAACTGAATTTCCACCATCTCGCTTCTTCGTTTTACATCTTCTTACACAACAATTTTTCCAGAAAAGTGAAAAAGGATATCATGTTTTTACTTCTACGCTAATTCTCAGATTATGTTAAAAATATATCGTTAAATGCCTTTTCGTCAATTTTCTTTTGCCTTCGAATTAGATTTTAAAAACTATAATAATTCTCGAAAACTCATGGAGTTTTTTTCTTTTACTAATATGGCGTCAGTTACTGTCTCAAGGCAAATAATAGTGGTACTGTAATTTTTGGATTTATGTTTCACAGTCGCTCACTTTACTATTTTTGTCACGTGTTTAAATCTCTTATTTAATATACATAAATTGGTCTAAGTTCTAGAAAAAGAATAAGAGCTTTAAATGAAATGGTTTACAAATATGGTATTTTAATTCTTCTTTAGAATAAAGTCAGCCCAATGCTTATCCCCATGAATTTTCCGGATAAAGGATAAGTGCAAGTGGTGGGGATGGCATCTGTCGTATCTTCTCACAGGTTGATGTTGTAGTAGTGGGACATAATATCTATAAAATCTTCTTGGAATACTTACGCTTTTGTAGCAATTGAGTTGTACACAATCAAAATTAACCACGTGAAAGCACTCAATGGAAACCTTCTCATAATATCTGATGATGTAGATTCAAAATTCTTGATATCTTTACGATCAAATATGAATTTGAGATATTGAGATAATTTATCCAACTTCACACACTAAACATTGCGTTTAAATATTAAATTTGATCTCTAAATTTTGATGTTTGTTGTTACTTTCATTAGAACCCTTGAATTTGTAGTGTTTTATTTTACTTGGTTTCTAAACTTTTTTTTTTATAAATTATTTTAGTCCTCGGGTTAATCTTTGGTTAAGTTGAGTGGTGATAAGATCAATTTCTAGATGATATTGTTTATGAGATTTGGAAAGTGTAAGATGGCATTAAAGAATGAGCATAAAAACATGGTGCAGGAAGCTGTGGAATGGGAGCATAAAAGCAGAGTCCCAGGCAAGATGCATGCTTGTGGCCATGATGCTCACGTTACAATGCTCCTTGGTGCTGCCAAGATTTTGAAGGATCGTGAACATCTCTTGAAGGTTTGCCCTTCACACCCCCTTCTTTTTTTTTTTTTTTTTTTTTTTTTTTTT